TCACAGCAGGCACTGCGGCTGCTCAGGCAGATGTAGAGATCAGATTTGAAATGACTTGAAACAAAATGTTTAGTTTCTGGTCAACATGACCTGAAATTAAATATTTTGATTTAATTTTTTCAACAGAAAATCTAAAAACGTGGGGGGGGAATCAACATTTCACTATGGAAAATATCAATTTAACAGAAATAACATTTTCCATCAAAAAAAAAGAAAAAATGTTTACAGAAAAATCTCACCCAGCTCTACTAGGAGTCAACATGATTTGTGAGAAACAGTGTAATGTGAACATATTTTCTTCTCATCATGTTTTTCGTGGTTTCGCTACACATAGAAAAAATTATGCTACTGATATTTTCTTTCGTAATGCTTCGAACAAGATAAATAAATTGTCCCACATCCCTTTTAGCTGTATTTCCAAAGATGTTACTTTAGCCCAAGCAATGCCTGATGTCAGTGTTTACACATTTAGACCCCAACTTGTCAAACTATGCATGCACACTGGAATTGGCATAAACTAATTCATGCTTTTGAAAAACTGGCCGATTTACATATGTGTTGAACGGGGGGGGGGGGGGGGTGTTAGGATCAGCATTCATATCACACTCCCAGTCAATACCAAGCCCAGCGGATGAAATTTGGTGATGAATGCTGATCACGTGCCACCTGAGGCATGTTGCGCATATGCTAAGAAGCATGTGAGCAGTTCCAATGAAGTCAACTGGACTATTTGCATGACTTACGTTACTAATGTCCTTCAATGTTTTGTTGGATCATACCCTTAATATACAACTGAAGTCACCTAATTCTGCCTAAATGACGTGTTTATTTATGTAATTGAGATTTTCTTTACATACTGAATATAGAAGACTACATTTGGACTGTGTGAATATGTGCTGGACACATATTAATGGACATGTTTTTGCCTTTGTGTTACAGGGTTCTGTAGACTCTTACTTAAATACTCCAAACATGGCAGCCCAGAATATTGAACTAGACTCCCTTAACGTGACTGTGGACAGGCTGTTTTAACTGACTGATGAGAATTCATAAACAAAGGTTTATGAAAACTATGTAAATTACTGTTACATTAAAAAACAGAAGGGTAAACATGGGGTTTTTGTGTGTGTAATGTGAAGCAGATTGTGAAAGACACAGTGCATTGTGTATGAATATATTAGTCCACATTCCAATTTGCTAACACTTATGAGAGGATGAACGTTTTAAATATCTGAAATCTGGCCTTTTTACCACGTGGCATTTGTACAAAAAAGATGTGAAACTATTTCCTGACAAGATCATACGTTTGGGACCCTCTGTCACAGTCTACGGTTTACAATACATATGAGCACTAAAAAGATGTATATATGACCTGCCTGCTTTATATTATAACAGTGAATTCATAAATATAGTGGAGGTACTGAATCAGTTTGAGAGATACTATTGGTTTTACCAATATTCTCCATTTGGGGCATGAAAGAATGCCAGTGAATTCAGTGAGTTCAGGTTAGGGCCTTTAATTTCAGGAAATGATTCTCAAACTAATTTAATCTTCCCTTCAAAAGGAAAGGAACATTTCAAGTGTGTCCACTGCCTTCTCCCCTTGAAATGTGAGTGCATAATTCCAATTAATGACATGCAAAAATGAACGGGAAAATCTATAGACCAGGGGTCGGCAACGTTTGGCACGCGGCTCGCCAGGGTAAGCACCCTGGCGGGCCGGGCCAGTTTATTTACCTGCTGACGCGGTAGGTTTGGCCGATCGCGGCCCCCACTCACTGCGGTTCACCGTCCCGGGCCAATGGGGGCGGCGGGAAGCCACGGCCAGCACATCCCTTGCCTGCACCTCTTCCCGCCGCCCCCATTGGCCCGGGATGGCGAACCGCGGCGAGTGGGGGCCGCGATCGGCCAAACCTACCACGTCAGCAGGTAAATAAACTGGCCCGGCCCACCAGGGTGCTTACCTGGCGAGCCGCGTGCCAAACATTGCCGACCCCTGCTATAGACAATAGACCCAAACCTAGCAACACCAATGGCAACTAGTCAGGACTCTGGAAGATGCATCTGAATTACACACAGATTTACATAACCACAAGATACGTGCATAGCCATAATGAATGTGGCACAGAAGACTCTACAGTTTCTCAATACGTGCAGAGGAGTCCACTATACTAGAAAAATACTCCAGTACCATGTATGATGGCTTTAGGGCAGCTTTCTGACGGAAGACTGACACAAAACTGCCCTAAGAAATCAGATAATTTGGTACAAGATATAGACATACAGTAGAATCTCATTTATCCGACCCTCCATTATCTGGCTCTGTGTATTAACCGAACAACCAGTATACACAGGTCCAAAAGCAGGTGATCTCGCCTGTGGCCACTAGACAGCGCTGCAGTCCCATTCTCTGGACTATCTGAATTTTTGGTTATCCAATCTGTCCCCGGTCCCAATTAGATTGGATAAGTGGGATTCCGTAGTATATAAAATGATGGCATAAACATAATGAGACTCCCTACCTCACAATAGAGTTGTGAAGATTAATTAGTTCATTTTTGTATGGTGTTTGGAATATGCTGCGCCCTGGGCAGCTCTTACCACCACCTGGCTCTGGCTTCTGGTCTGCCTCGGGGGCTGGGCCTCAGGGGGAAGAGGAGGAACAGGGAGCAGGGCCTCCTGCATGTGTCCTGATTTTGCATTTTTAAAAGGTGGTCACCCCAGCTGATTTGCAGAGCAGAAGAGGAAAGCCAGTCCTCAGGCAGGGTGGGCCAGGTCTGTATTATGGGAATACACTGATTACAGCTCCAGTTTGCTGCTTTGTTTCAATAATCATAATTGTACATGCATATTTTACCTTGATTACTGTTGATGATTTAGATACTGAAACAGAAAATGTGCATTTCTGAATAGACGCAGCAGGAGCGAAATTATTTAAGAAAAAAATCCTCCAAAATGAAACAGAGAATTTAAGAACTATCTGGACACACAGGTTTACATGACAATCAACAAAAGCTGTGTTTGTTCATTCTCTTTGCAGCTCCCTTTACAGAGAGACAATGCAAATACCTTACAGTGGACATCCTAAAATCACTGTGCAGGAAGTCTTACAGAAATGATTACATCTCTAACTTCCCCTAACTCTGAAATGGAAAAGCACTTAGCAAAACCAATGGGGCAGCTTTCAGTGTAAGATATTGCTTAATTTGAGTTAATTTAGATTTGGGCCCCACATTCGCAGTTTTAAGTTTCTTCTTTACTTTTCCCAAGCACATGTAGTTGGCGTTTTGTCCCCATCCAAGATTGTCATTAAAATACAATCTGCTTGTGAGTGTAGCTCTGAGCCAAGAATGAAAAGAGCAGGAGTAGACCTAGACTAGTCTAAGAAGCCAGAAATGAGAAGGGGTGCCAAATTGAAAAGAAAGCAGATTAGGCTTTATTCAGAACCTTAGTGATGTGAACACTAAAGTTCAGCTACTGGCGTAAATGTGCATAGAGAGCCCAATCTGCCTTCCCATTAAATCAGTGGCCTAACTCCCACTGAAGAGCAGGGGAGCAGATACGTGTCTGTAATTAAGACAGGGTGTGTGTGGGGGGGGGGTTGTTTGTTTGGTGGTGTTGTTTTTACATGCATGCAAATCATGCGGCCCTTACTCAGGCTAAACTCTAACTTCACTGGGAATTTTGCCTGACCAAGGACTGAATCTGGATGGCAACATTTGGCCATTGAGTTTTAATGAATAACAAAATAAGAAGCACTGTTAGACACAAATATATAGAACAGCTTCTTCCTAGTTTGAAGGTGAAGAGGCCTATAGATTTCCTAAAGAAATTAAGTGGAGTGGTGTCAGTTTAACGGTTGAAACCATTCTATTGCAACTTGATACTAATTGCTGCAGTCTACACCTTAACGACTCAGAGAATGTTGGACAGGCACATCTATGTAGCTGTTCATAAGGATGTTGTAGTGTTTTGCCCATTTGGCTGCCAGAAATGAGATCATCATCATTCAAGGACATTTCCACAGAAATGAAGCATCTGTCAAGCAGGACTTTAGTGTACTGAATATAAAAAGATGTACATGAATCAGATAGCTTCAGAGCTTTAATGTCACAGTCTTGTAGACTTTTTATAAACATCACAATTCAAAAGGGATCTTACATCTGATGCTGCTATAAATGACCCTACTTATCTATTATTTATTACAGATTTGATAATTGATCCATTACAGAAGATAGTGGATATTTCTGTCTAAGAATTCTCACCTCTGAGGAATCCCTTGTTTCATTGGTAGATCAGAAAAGCACAGAATGTGAGAGGTTAAAGGCTGATAATAAAATTATGGAGGAAGAATAATAGAACCATTGTTTGGAGTCTGAGGTTTACCCCTATCACCGTCTCCACATTTTCAGCAGCATTTTTCAGTTAAGCCTCACAGTGAACAACAAAACCTTTTGCAGCACAAATATGAATGGCTGTTTCAAGATTAGTGACATTACATGAAATGGTACAGGTGAAAAATAAATACAAAAGTTGCTCATCCATGCAGACTTAGAAAAACAGCAACACAGAGCCCATTTTTGGATTAATGTAATATGGTTACTCTAATTGTTTTGGAAAATTCCTGACTACAGCTTACCATCACCCCAACCCCTTCAGTGCTAAATTCCTTTTTGTGTGTCCTTAATAAGAGCTATGATGTTATAAATGTAAATGAGCATGATCTGAATAGTGTAGCTTTTCAAACAGTGTGTTACAGGATAGTCACAGCAAGATGCTCTATGTCCTAAGGCACCAGCTCTCTGAGTGGCACTGAAGACCAGTGGACCCACCCTATGAAAACTCTGAGAAAATCTGGCAACAAATTGGCTTAAACAAGAGCTTACTAATCATTGACATGCCACAGTGTATATATGGCATGTCATATAGAGCAACAAAAAGAGAGCAACATATACCTAAATTGTCAATTATAAGCTCATGAAGTCAGACAGCTTACTCACCTTTACCCACTGGAAACTTGTTGCCAATTTATGTAACATATTCCACCCATTTGAATGGCCACTTAATGAGTCCGTGTTGACAATGCAGATTTAAGTTTTGTGCTGCCACTTATCCGATATTTCAGCTCTTGCTGCAAAGAATGAAAAGTTCATTTGAAATCAAAAGCAACATTACAGTCACAATAACAGGGGGAAAACAAACAAGCAAACAAAAAACACTAACTTTTAAGTTACCCCAACAGCCCAATGGGATTTTGGAGACAGAAAAATATCTATAGGCCAGGATAGAATTTACAAGTAACTTTTACTCATATAGACCTATTATTGGAAGACTGTTCCCATAATTAAAGTGCTGGAGGCCATGTCAATATCCCTTCACATCTTTCTCTCTACCTCCTAGACAAATAGAATCTCATGAAAGAAAATATGCTCTGGGAACATTATCCAGAGCAAGAGACACTTGTAGGGGGGAAAAAACAACAACCCAGCTACAGTCACATGTCAGGTATCATCAGCCAAACAAGATGTGCTTCCAGCATTTCTAAGTGCTCTAAGACATATTACAAATCAGATAGCTTAGTATCATGACAGAATAAGGAAAAGAGGAAACTGCCTCTAGAGTAGTGGAACTATATGCCCATGATAAGAGTTACAGTTGTATTGGGAATGTGAAAATTGGCAGGGAGTGGCTCTCCTGTTTTGCAGGTTTATGGAGCACATCTTTCCTTGGGTCAGTGGTCATGGGAGGTTCCTTCATACAACAAGAAAATTAACTTTATTTTCAGGCCTATAAACCATATTATTTTATAATGTGTACATTGCAAAATGTGTATTTTGTTTCCACTAAATTTCCAAGCCTACAGGTTGTCTTCTTGAGGCTGCTATATACTTAGGCTTGGCAGAATTCCACTTTTTTTAAAATAAATTTGACAGAATATTTTGATGTTTATTTTAAGCATTTTTTTATTTATTTAATTTTTCACAGTTGCAGGAAACTATGGGAAGGTCAGACCTTAATTATGTAATGACAGCAGACACTGAGATTCAAAAAGTTTTATAACTTAAAACACAAATTATGAACATCGCATGTCAAAATATATAAAGTAAATATCCTTAAATGAAACTAAGTTCTTAAGCTGCATTCTTCCTTCTTTGTCTATCTTTATATTCTGATTATTATTGAAGGAAATACTTTTTTCGCTGGTTTATGTGTGTGTACTTTGAAATTGACATTTACCAACATTTACCAATAAAAAATTAATTCTTCCAAGCCTATACACACATACACACACACACACACACACACACACACATAGATGGAAGTATAGCCTGGTATTTAAAACCAGTTATTTTCAGCTACTTCCCTTCCCACTTTACAGTTTACATTTATAAGGAACAATAATCACAAGGTGAAGGAAGGCACAAGTATTCCTGTTCTAACACTTAAAAACTAAATAGAGGCAATTAAAGTAGCTGGGAATTAAAAAAACAAAGCCAAAACAGGTGTTTACAGACCTAAGCCATTCTAAAGGTGCTATAAAATTTATTCACAACAGACACATACAGTCTCAGGCACCTAAAAGAGCTCCTCAGGCTTTTTAGTTGAATAATTGAAGGATTCCACAAATGTCGCCCTTTTTTTTTCTCTTGGAAGGCGATGCATCAGCCTTCTCCTAAGGGCACTCATCACACACAGTTTTTTCCTAACATTTCTTCTACTCCTTGGAGAGTTAAAATGCACCTCCCGAACTCAGTGAGCACAGCTTATGGTGTCTGACTCTATACTCAGAGGTTTCACCCATTCATTCTAAAGTCCAATGCACAATTGGCTGGACTTTGGGGCCCATTAAGCTGGTTACAATAAACAGAATTAAAATTGGGATTTGTGTTCCTGAAATATATCTGTAGGTCACCTGTCGAGCAGCCAGCTGGAACTGCCTTGCATTGTGGTGTTTATGTTGAAGGAGACACAATTTAATATTAAATGCAGTCATTGTTATGGTGCTTAATTTGTATGCACTCTGGAAAATTTCTCAGATTAGGCCCCATATCTTTCACGTACATTAAATGATGAAACTAACCAAGATGACGGAGGATGACTATATTAGTTTACAATGGAGAGCTACTCGTCCAAGAAATATCTCAACATCCCTCAATAGAATCTGCCCTCAACAGAATATGAATGCTGCCTTTTTATCCAGCAAGCACCTATAGTCTGATTCAGCAGTATTCTGGATATTTATGGCTGTGTGTATACACCTGTTGACTGATATCTGCAGTATGCTACTTACCATCTGCCTGGAGCAGGAGAGAATAGCAGAGGTACCTTCCTCAAGTTTTCAATAAAATACCATACAATTCTAAACCTGTTTTGAATGTTTTTAAATATCTTGTTTACCTCTTTCAGTAAAATCAACATTAAAATTATCAAAGCCTCATGATAGCACTTTACAATTATTAAATATTAAACTAGTACTAAAGTAGGGCTCCATCTTTCAAAGGGATCCAACCAGGGCTTCCTTACATTCATGCAGAATCCCACTGAAGTCAGTGGGACTCCACCAGGAGCGGCACCAGGGTTTTTGGCGCCCTAGGCGGGGGTCTTTCCGCGCTCCCAGTCGTCGTCGGCAATTCTGCGGCGTAGGAGTCCTTCCGCGCTCCTGGTCTTCGGGGCACTTCGGCGGCGGGTCCCGGAGCGAGTGAAGGACCCGCCTCAGAATTGCTGCCGAAGACCCGGAGTGCGGAAGGACCCCCCGCCACCGAATTGCCGCCGAGGGCAGCAAAATGCGGCCCCCCCAAATCCTGGCGCCCTAGGCAACCGCCTAGGTCACCTAAATGGAAGCGCCGGCCCTAGACTCCACACACGTATCAATGTCCAACCACACAGACAGGCTGGTTGCATCATCATCATCATGTTCCTATTACGCTAGGGCCTTAAACAGCAGTTAGATAAAATACCCACATTACAGAGAACGAGCACATGATTATTACTCTATTACCTAGTGACTATTACTAAGAGATGATCAAAGGGTGCTGCATCTTATATTCTCAGAGCTTCTGTTATGCAGTTGATAATAATTACTAAGTATTTCAGTGTGAGATAATACCAGTGCAAACTGACTGTAATCAGTGGGATAGCACAGATATAATGTGGGGAGTAGAATGACCCTGTGTGTCCCCAACAAACTGAATTACTCAGAAGAAAACTAAGTTCCCATTTCTACAAGAATACAATTTTCTGCTTCTATGGTTCAAACCTTTTCTTTCCTTGTCTTTACAGACTTCAGTTGGCTAAACATTTAAATAATTAAATAAGTATAATATAATTGTGATCCATTAATAGATGTTTCTCTTTTTTGTAAAGCAGTTGAAATATTTTGTGTAGAGGACTCAGCATTAAAACTAAATGAAATGAATTGCTCACATGCTGTTTTTCCTGTGAATATTTATATTTGTGGTGAAATTAATACATTGGCTCAGGAGCTGCATTTTACCCTAGGATTATGAGCACTGCTGAGGAAGATGGCCTCTGTGCTCTCCAGACCTGGCTGGCTAAATGCTGGGCCAGTCTCCTGACATACCTCAAGGAAGCCTAAAAGTTGCTCTAAATTACACTAGCTGCTAATGGCCCACGGTGGTGATAGGGCAGTCAGGGATCCATGGAGTTTAACCTTCTGTGCCAGCAGTATGGAAGCAGTTGGGGGGGAAGGCAGCAGGGTCCCTCTATAATGAAGTAAGTCTTTGTGCCTCACTATTCTGGCTTTAAGTCCAGAATATGCAGCAAAGACCAGGCACACCACATCCCAGGTTCTGGGCAATTCTATTCCATCCATAGAGTAGCCAGACTGTATTCGCAACCGGTAAGAGTTTTGCCAATATTGTACTTGAATTAGTATTTCAAATATAGTGCATGTACATGCGGATTCCTTGTGATTATTAAAGGAGCCCATGCAAGTCTGCCAAGGGCCCAGCTCTGCAAGGAGTTGAACACTTTCCTGGAGATGCAGAGAGCCCTTAACTCTGAATGGTCAGCAGCTCATAGGATCAGGCCTTAAGCATGCTGTACTTTTCAAAAGATATGTTGCCACATAGAGCTACCAATGGATAAAAAAACATAGCTATTTGGATGCATGGTGAGGTGGTGATAGGAGACTATACTGAGGCTCATGCTTCTGATGCCCACCAGATACTTTAACAGCCCCTTGGGCTGCTACCAATGAACACTCCTAGGAAGTCAGACTAAATTGCATTCTATCTTCATTATCCAAGTACCCAAAAATTAAATGAAAACTTTTAGGGAAATTATTACAAAATACTCTATAATGTGTGTTGATATGATTACAAACATGTTTCTAAATATCAAGCTCGGTAAATAATGCAAAAAACACTATGAATATTCATTTGGATTTTAAAATAAATTTGCTTCAGCTATGTTCGCATTCTCCTTTTGTGTGTGCTTTCCGACCGCAGTAGAGCAATCAAATTTTACTGGCAAAAAAATGTTCACAGACTGAGAGCTAATTTAAGTTGCATGCACGTGTTCATGGATAACAAATTTTGACTTGCATAAATATTCACACCAGAAATGCTTCTCACTAATCCCATCAGAGAACAGAAATGAAAACATGCAACTCATCTGGCCAATCACAACTTTGGTAACCAACTCAACTTACAGTTTCAGATATTTATGATCAATCTATGGATTTAAAAAAGTGGAAAACATGTTCACCAACTAAATTCAAATTATGACTAAGTCCTAGGAAAGCACAATCTGCTCATGGATATTTTGCAAACAGAATAAGTTAAATTAATTAATTATTGTAAAATATTCACTAAAGCTCTAAATAATTATATGATAGAAAACAAATGTAAGCTATGGATGATGATATATAGTGAGCAATCATTCAATAACTAATATGCTAAAAGCATGATTCATGAAAATACATTATGTAGACAAGCTGTGGATGCTGTTTACTGTGAAGTACATATCACACTCTTTAAATACGTGGCTTTTTTACAAATAAACTTGTTGTCTTTGCATTTGTGTTTGAAATTACACAAAAATGAAGCACAGAAAAGGAATAACATTGGAAAGGGACTAAATTATGCCATTTTGATAATTTGCTTATAT